CCAGAGAAAATGTGGCCCACAGAGCCAACATTTTAAAAATGTTTTAAGGTTTTGTTCTTAATCTTGGAATTTGAGCTGTCCTGACTTTGGCTAAAGCATGGTTGAAAAGGGACTCTTACATCCTGACATTAGCCAGGGAGACGTTGAGCATAACAGTAAACAAATGTGCCTTTATTGATTAGTATCAGTTGGTGGTTTAGTGATGCCTGACTGGAGAGATGGTGAGTGTAAACTTGTCATGTTTCTAGGTTAATTTTTCCTTCCAAATGTAGACTGAACATTGACATTTCTGTCCGACTTCTTGAGCCTACACAACAGGCAGTCAAGTTTCTAGAAAGTCAAATCCTACTTGGATCCAACCAACTTACAAATGTATGTATAAAATACACAGGTGTTGTGATAAAACACCCCGCACAGTAAAAGGGAAGGCAGAAGAGAAGAACTTGAGCTAAAGCTTTAAAGAGTGGAGCAAGAGGTAAGGGCATTTCAGATGGAGGAGCCTTGAGAGCAAGCCCAGGGGATGAAGGGTGGGTAGGGGCATGGCCCCTCACAGACATGTTTGGCAATTTGGACCAGATTGTGGGAACTTTCCGTTCCATGCCTACCTCCTGTAGGCAGAGGAAGACCTACCATGTTTGGCTGCCCACAGGACTCTAGAACTTCAAACAGAAACTTAATATCATAGCTTGACATATTAAATCCCTTCCCCTCACACTCTTTCAGGAATAAACCCTTTGAAAAGTATTGTTTAAGACAGTTTTTTTTTTTTTTTGTTTGTTTGTTTGTTTTTAAGGCAGGGTCTTGCTCTGTTGCCCAGGCTGACTTCAAACTCATGGGCCCAAGTGATTGTTCTGCCTCAGCCTCCCCAGTAGCTGTGACTACAGGTGCTCACCACTGCATTGCACTTGGCTAAGACTAATATTCTTCACTTCATGTATGAAGCAGGCATGGTCTAAAAATGAGACTGAGCACCCAAGGAATAGATCCCCTCTGCCTGGCCAAGAGTCAGATATGTTGGAGAGGGCATAGCTGGGTCTCATTGGAGGGCAGACAAGCCATGGTGCCATGATCATGGAGCTTGCTGGAAATCTGACCCCTGGGGTTCTGGGGAAACCTGCTCATGGGGAGGTGGTGCCTTGCTGGAGTTTCTGCACTATGACAGGTTGGGGCAGGGGGATTGGGGTAGGGAAACAGTGCCAGGAAAAACTGTTGGCTATCTTTTGCTGTAGGAGGCAGGTAGTGTAAGAGCCATGGGCCCTACAGGTTTTAGAACTTGAAGCCATGGGAGCTGCAAGGAGCCGGGGCAGCTGGGCAGCCAGAGGTGTGGGACAGCACCATGCAAACTCAGACATGGGAGCTCACACTTAGCTTCCCCTTCAGCCTGGGAGGTGGAGTGCGGTATGCATCCCAGCAGTAGGGGTCAAGGCAATGGGAAGCAATCTTTTTGGAGCCTTAGCAAAGTACTCTTGCCCCTGAGCTCCAGGCTGTCAATTCTTGGGAGCATGCAGCACACTTCTCAGGAGGTTGTGGGGAGAGGTAGACAGCATCCATCTCATGAACACCCTAATACTGGCCTTTCCCCTCTCCCTACTGAACTCACCCTGCTTCTGGGGTCACCTTCTAAATACATCACCTGCTTCTAAGTCCTGTCTCAGGCTCCACTCTCAGGGCAACCTGAATTAAGGCAAACTTTTTCTCAGAAGTTCAACCAAAAGACCTCTTCCTGGGGACACTTTCCAACCCCATGTTTTTCCCCAACCACATCTTTTCCACCCCAACCAAATAAAGCAGTTATTATTTTCTCCAGATTCCCTGCCTCATTTATCAGATCACACCTTCCAATACTGCCTCGACTCTCTCTCTATTATCCAAATTTGTCACATTTTCAAAGCATGGGAATGTTTTACAAGACAGCCTTCCTTCTGTGGCTCTCCTGGTGTTCTGCATCATTTCTTGTAGGTCATATACACTGCAGCATTTATCTGAATATTTTTTGTGTCACATGTTTCATGTTCACACAATTTGGAGGACAAAAGAGAGATTTTTCTCAGTTCTTCCTGAAAATTTCTCTTCTGGCAAATTGCTGCCATCGACAGATAATATATTTCAGGTTCCATAACAATAGTCAAGGAAGCAAGACTTACATTGAATAAAAAATAAAGGAAAAGAAAAGATACTTCTCAAGATTTCAAAAGCTTTGCCGGGAGATGTTGCTTTAAGTTGAGATTGAAGGAACGTGAGCATTCATGGGGACAAGAGCAGCATCAAAAGCAACTTCTCTGATAAATTGATCTCCACCCTGCTACTCTCCTTGCTTCCAACCATGCCTCTTATTTTTGTTATCAGCAAAATATCTGATTGGAAGCAAAGGGGAGCTATTGCTGATTAAATTCTTTTTTCACAGTTAATAAATGTTTGTTCTGTGTGTACTTTCTACAGACCCTCATACTCGTCTATGTGAGAGGGAGATGAGTGACATTGGGTACTGTCCTTTCCACTAGAAATCATTTACTTTTTGGTCCTATAGACTCCCCTGATTTCTTCTGACAGCTCTCATGTCCTGTTCCTTTTCTCCCTTAATTGATGCCCTTCACATCCTAAGTGTGGGTACTTTATTCTCCTTTCTTGGCAGTTTGTGTGAGCAAGCCCTCACTCTCTTGACCCTCTACCTGGATGTTGCTCACATATATCCTTCTATGCCTGCTGGTAGTACCTTTCTAGTGAGTACCCTGGAACCCTTGCCTCATTCTCCATGGAACCCTTAGCAGCTCTCTTAAAAACAACAACAACAACAAAACAACCCACTTTCCCCCCAATGTCCCTATTTCTGCTTCTCCAAACCACCTGGCTATATTGCACATATCTGGTCACCAAGTTCCAGGAGCTCTGCTTGGAAATTTCCTTCTCCCTGTCCTTTCTTGCTGTAATCGTCCTTCCTTGTTTTGTTCATTCCTAAACTGCAGGTTTCTTCCATCCCAGGCTTCCAGGTCCACTTAGGTGTCCTCTGTTAGATACAGGTGACATTGCAACCATTTTGAGGTGTTCAAGGTTTGGTTAACTTGGTCCCTCACTTTGGTATTTGATGCCTTTTCTATCATTTGACCCCATCTCTTTTTCTAGTATGCTTCATTCCATCTTCTAGTATGAAGCCAGACCATCTCTGCTCAGACAAAGGGACTGGCTATCTGCACACTGTTCACATATTATCCTGACTAACCTGTGTCTAGACCCATTGTTTCTAGAAGAACTCAGTCAATCCCACCTCCTCTGAAAAGACTCCAGGGACCATGGCTGTCTCCTTTGGATTCTTAAGCCGTATATAGTGTAGCAACTCCAGCATACACACACACAATATACATATATATATTCAGCTCACACACATAAAATATATGTATGTATTCAATTTCAGTATGTGTATGTGTGTGTGTGTGTGTGTGTGTGTATATATATATATATATATATATATATATATTCAGTTCACACACACTGTTGTTTATCAAGGAATCACTACTATATTTCAGAGTCCTTTTATGTTGCTATTTTGAATTACTGAATTTTCAAGCATAAATTTCATTTAATATGTCAGCAGACATTTACTTTTTTTAATGCAAACATACAAACTTCATTTAACAAAAGTAACAGGTAACTTCAAATGGACACTTATATTAAGAGAAAAACTGACTAGGAGAAATTTTATCTTAAACACCTTACAATAACCTCTTTGCAGCTGTATTTAACAGAGCCCTGTTGTTGTGAGGAATACAGCTCATGCACAGGTCTGTATGAATGATTTGTACATTTTTCAAGTATTCACTGAATACTACTTTATATACACATTTACATTAAATTGGCAGAAGATTTAATTGATGACCCCAGATAAACTTCCTTTTAGTTGCTCTTTGGGAAGAGATCGTCTAAAGAGAAGAATATGCGGTTCTGACTCATGAATCATGTAATGAACCCAGCCTAGACTCTGGACACCAAGTCTCCTCTGCTCCTCTTCAGACATTAGATGAATTTTGGGTACTTGTTTGGAAAGTTCTCTAGGTAACACGACATGCCTGTATTCATAGACTCCTGGAAGTACTTGTCCGAGTAGCAGATCTACTTATGGGCCATACTGCCCGCGCGCAGCAAGGCGGAAACCGAAGGGTGCAGCATCTGGGGAAGCAGAACGCACGTCCGTTTCAAGCCAGGGCAACGACGCGACTAAAACCGACCGCAAACATTCATTTCTTAAGTACAGGTTGTGTGGTATTTCCACAGGTAATTTTCACAGCCAGGTGGAGGGAGTATTCTGCTCCTCATTTTACAAATGAGGAAACTGGGACTCAGAAACGATAACGTTGTTTACTAGGTTCTCATTGGGCATTTCCCCCTGAAATGGGCCTAAACAAGAAACTGAAGGCCGGCTTTTAATCCAGCCCTACTACATCAACTGGATGATCTTGGCCAAGTCACTGTCCTGCCTCCGTATGGACAGGCGTTTAGAGTCAGTGACCACCACAATCTCATATCACTCTGCCCGGTGACTAGACGTAGTAGGTGCCCAGTAAACACGTGCAGATTTGATGTGTCAGAAGAGCTGTACCTGACGTTTCTGATTAGTTGGGGAGAAAAGGGCTGAGCCGAAGGGTAAGGGGACACTGGGCTGAGTAGCCTGGGGGCCACGAAATAGGGAATGCTTCCTGGAGAAGGGGAATTTGGAGAGGCCAGGCTGGGAGGAGGGAAATAGCCAGTGATGGCGGAGGGGAGTGGGAGGACATTCCGATCTGGGGAAGGGCAAGGACAAAGTGGTGCGGAAGAGGATAGTGAGGCTTGAAGCGGGCTGGAAGGAGGTGCTGGCGGCGCGCCCCGGGCCCAGAGCAGACAGGGTGGGGAGGTGCGCAGGGGCCCGCCCGGGAGAGGGCGTCTCACTGGCACCCCAGGCCAGCCGCACGTCCGGCGGCAGCTCAGGCGGGCCTGGGCGCCTAGCCGGCCCCTGCCCCTCCTCCGGGAGGGCGGGCGGGCGGCTGCGGGGCGGGGCGCGGTCTCGCTCGGCCTCCTGGCGGCGCCGCGGCCCTTGCACTCCGGCCGGGCTCTGGGGCTGCAACGGGAGCTGGACTCGGGAGGCGGCGGCGGTAAGTGATCTCGGAGCTGCGGCGGGTGGGTGTGCGCCGGGAGTTCGGCCCAGGGGCCCAAGTCCAGCTGGGACCCCGAGTGGCTCTGGCTCCACCAGGTGCGCTGCGCTGCGCTCAGCCCGTGAGTCTGCGCTCAGAGCGGGGGTCTTGGGCTGGGAGGTGCGCTCCAGGAACCTTCGCCGCACCCTGCCCCGGAGACGTGCGGAACAGTTGGTGGCGATTCCTAGTGAACCCTCCTCGGGGCTCGGAGTGACAGCTGGGAGCCATCCACAGGGAGCACGTCAGTCCCTGTGATACCTTGTCGTGCTTAATTGCTCAGCGGGCTGGTCCAGACCATCCTTTGAAAAGAAAGGGCATGTGGCCGCCTCTGTTTCCCTGGCCTTCCGCACCGCTGCCCTGTCCAGGCAGGTCATCCTGAAATCCCCCGTCTCACTTAGAGCATATCTCCTAGCCTTCCAAGGACTTTTCCAAGTTGCATCACTGTTTGGCTTCTGGACAGGTGCTTGGCTGTCATGTTGAGTTAGTTACAAAGGATTTTTAAAAACTTTGTCTACTTACTACGTGTGTATCCCTTTGCCCCAAGTGCCCTGTAACGCCCCTTACCTGCTCAAAACACGTTGGAAGTTCTTTTGGAGGCTCTCAAACCGGGTTGCACATCTCCAGAGTTTTAAAGAGTTCTGATACTTTCGAACCACACTCAGATATCCTGATTCAGTTGTTTTGGGGTGCAGCCGGGACATTGGCATTCGAAAAAGCCCTCAAGGTAATTCTGACCTGCAGTCCAGACTTGAGAGCTTCTGTTTTGGGAGGTGCTCCCACAAACCAACTTTTGAACCATTAAAGATCAGTCCTGATATAGAATTCATCTCAGGAACTCGAGGCTTCCTAATCAACAATTCTACTGAAGAGCCAGGTGGTGCCTTTTAAAAAAAAGTTTCCTTTGTTTCTACCTCTCTGTTTACAGTAAATACTGAATACTGCCAGGACACTTTCTGCCTAGGAGGTAAGAGTGAGGCATTAAAGGCACTTACAAAGTCCTTGCAAAGATCAAGGTTATAATACAGGGTTTTCCTATTTGGGAAAAACAAGTGAGGAATCTGTCAGTTTTTGTATACCCCCAAACACACATGTAGAGATAATAGTTTTTTTTGTTGTTGTTGTTCTGCATAAATGTGAAGAATTTTTCTTCAAGATGCAAAGCTAATGAGATCCTTAAGGTTTTTGTGGTTGATATTTGTGTCAATGTGTGTGCATTTGTGAGTTATTCTTATTCTGGATGTGTGATCAAGTCCTACAGATGTAACAATGTGTACATTTCTCAATAGAATAATATCTGAGTTAGGAAATTAGTGCCTTAAGTAGCATGGCACATCTAAGGTGACTCCTTGGACACCTGTCAACTGACCTTAAAAATGATAGGAAAGTAGGACTAAGGAAAAATTGAACATATGTTTGTACTGATTGAAACATATGTTTGATCATACATATGTTATTTAGAAAGTGTGTTCCAGTGTCCTTCTTATTAGCATGATAATCTCTGGGGATCTTGGTTAATTTATTGGTGTATTCCAAGTTTGGTGTTTGTATTAGATTGTAACCCGGATGTTGCTGCCTGGCCACAAAACAGAGGATTTGATTTTTTTTTTTCCTTTGGTGTTGGTCCTGTATATTGTATTTCTCTTAGCAGTGGTATGACATCCTTTCCAGAATGCCCTCCAGAGGCGGAGGAGTGTTTGTGTTAATTTCTAGCTCTAACATGAGTAAAAAAAAAAATTCTTAATTTTTTTTAATTAAAAAAGTATACAGTTTTGCCCAATTGGTCTTTCTTTTTCCCTTACCTTCTACTACCATGCCCTTTCCTGTTGCTGTATTCAGTTGCTAAAAGTGTGACCACTGTGGGAGTCATTGTAATAGTCTTGGTCCTGGCTGGGGAGTGGGGGTTATATGGAGTGCATGGTCTTATAGGGTGGCCCTTGACCTGAATCCTCATCCTTGGGGGAGTAAGACCATATGGAAAGCATTTTCCTACTGTTGATTTTCTTTTCTTTCTCTCACGGGTAGATCAGGCAAACAAAATGAACCATGTTATTGAATGATTTGTTAACTTGTGAATCTTGTCTCAGTATGGGTGTGTGTGTGTGTGTGTGTGTGTGTGTTTGGGAAATCCTCTTAAACTCTTGATGATACCACAAAGTTGCACCTGAATAGCAGTAGTTACACTGTGAATATACTTTCTCTCCTTTCAAAAGAAAAATGTGTATTGAAATGTGAACAGAATTATTGACACATTTCTCACTTTGGAGTAGCAATTTTAATATTGTGAAGTGGTTAGAAGGGAGTAAAGGAAGGTAAATATGAAAAAAAGGGATTCTTTGTTCAGGGAAAGAGTAGATAGCATGTAGAAGAACTTTGATTTTTGTTGAGAATAGACAGCCCTTTTTATTGGTTTTCTTTAAGTTAATTTGCTTCTACTGATGGGGTGAGAGGTGGTTAATGAAATTTAATGTCCTCCTTAGCTCTTTTCCCCTGAAACCCATTAATCTAAAAAGATGCCTTGGACCTTTTAAAAGGCCTACCTATTTGTGCCTTTCTTTTTCTCCTCTGGTGCTGGTGCTAAAGGGCAGAGAAATGGCTGAGAGGTTGGCATCAGAGGAGAAACAAAGTTCAAGGGGAATTGAAAATTGGGTAATTTTCCCTGAATGACCAAGAGCTTACTTTATTCTGGCACATGACACTGCTGTTATCATGAAACAAGTTATGACATTAAAACTCTGAACATGGAAAAGAAAAAAAAATGTGTGTGTGTGTGGCGGGGGTGGGGTGGGGTGGGGGGAAGGTAGCCTGGGCGGCCTTTACCAGGGGAAGCTGGTGGGAGTTTTCTTACAACACCGTTTACCTTCTTTCTCAACACTCCCTCCTCCATCCCCCACACCAGTATTCCTTGGGCTTCATCTTAAATTCACAGGAGGGATTGTTGTTGTTTCATTTCTTTATTCACTCATTGAGCAAATACTTAAGAAGCCCCCACTACTGGCAGAGCTCTCTGTCTTACCTGCTGAGAGTTCTTGGTCAATGGATGACAGTCCCTACCATAGTGAGCTGAGATAGGGGGGCATGTGAACTCTGGGCTGCAGTTAAGATGGGCACAGAGACCTGCCAGGTACCATGGGGTACCTGGCTAGCCTCACCTGGGTAGATTCCTCTTGAGTTCGTTGGCACAGAAGGCAAAAGACACACTTTTCTGGGGTTTAAATTAGAATTTATTTCACTGGGTCCCAAAACCAAGTTTAAAATGACTGATTTGGGGTATTTTTCTGCCTGGAGGAGAGGGAAGAACAGGTCCCCTTCAGGCAGAGGAGAAAGAGGAGTGAAGAAAGAGAAGGCCAGATTCTGGCAGGTACTTTTGTTAGAGGAGTCTCATGAATAGGGGTCCTTCTGGGGTTGGGAAGCTTCTGGATCATGTGGCTGGATCCATTTTTGACACACTGGTAACTGGTAAGGTAAACTTAGTAGTGGTTCTCTCCACATACAGCTGGTAGGAAGGCACAAACCATCTTCCTTTTTAGAGCAAGTATTTGGTTTGTGTCTGACTCTAGCCAGTGGGTGGACTTTTATTCTTCATTATACCATTGCCACTTTAACTTGGTTTCCCCGGATAGGCTGAAAACTGGGCTTCAGGCAGTTTTTCCCTTGGGAAGATTGTTTACAAATAGCCAACCATAGGGCGAATCATCCCATGGATATAAGAATAGTTATTATTTGTTTATAAACTATCTTCCAAGTGCCAGGTCTCCTGTTCAGCATTTCTCTCCCTTTGCTCTGAACCCTCACATCTCTGAGATATAGGAGGCAGTGGCCTCCTTTCACAGATGAGGAAACTGAGTCCCAAAGAGTTGCTGGATTCTGTAGCAGCTCACAATGTTTGGACTGGCAGAGTTGAGGTTTGAGAGTGCTTAGATCTGCCTGAATACAAAGCTAAGTTCCTTGCACAGTTGCTCCTCTTAAGCAGATTGGATGAAGAAATTGTTTTCAGTGGCTGGTTTTTTAAAGTCGCAGTCTCCTTAGGGCTGGATTGATTTATTCTTTCTATTAGAAGAGGTAAACATTAGGCTAAATACTAATGTAACATTGTGATCCCAAGGGTAATTTTATGGACTCCTACTTTTCTAGGTGTTTTAAAGGACAGCAGAGTAGGCTGTTAGGAATGGGCCCCAAATCCTAGGATAGAGATTCCTTATCTCCTCATTCCTTGAAATTCTGCAGCCCTCCAAGTTCTGTCGATAATTGGTTGTTGGGTAAGAGATTCAGAACAAAATTCACCTTTGGGCTTTTCTGGAGTACAAGGAAGTCGTGAATGTCTACTTCCTGTTCCTGTGGTACTTGTCACAAAAACAAAACTTGGCTGCATGATAATTACCTGGAGCTCTTAAAATTGCAGGGAGTAAGGTCTTAGAGGCCAAATGGTACTATCATTAGTGAAGATGAGTTTAAAACAGGGTTCTCGAATGGGTGGTCTTTACTATGGTGAGCTCTTGCACAGGCTTTCAACCCCAGCAGGACTGACTCCAGGGAGCATGGCCAGGGACTCAGTGGAGGGTCACAGTGGAGTGAGAGTGCCCAGGATCAGAGCAAGGGCATGTGTTATGAACATGGCCTATTTCTGCCAGCCTGACTGGAAGCTTCTTTGTGTACAGGGTGGTGTTTATTCCCTGCTGCCCAATCATAGGGATTTCTGCTTGCCTTAGGTAATGTATTCCATGGTTCATGGCATTGCTTTGATTATTAGTAATCGTTCCCCTTTTTTCCTTGCCAGAGGATCTAGGCAGAATGACCACGATATTCTACTTCTGGCCTCAACAATTCCCTTGGTTTTGACCTCCGACTCCCTTGGTTTTCTATCATTGTATTTTGTTGCATTTGAAACAGACCCTCTGTTTTCCATTGCAAACTGTCAAGTCCAGCACAGGAAGAGGATCTGCTGTTACCATGAATACTCCCAG